AGTATTGAAGTATTGAAGTATTGAAGTATTGGAGTATTGGAGCATTGAAGTATTGAAGTATTGAAGTATTGAAGTATTGGAGTATTGAAGTATTGGAGTATTGTTACCAAAGAAAAGTCAAATCTTGAAGAAGAAACGTTTCCAGAGAGTTCCATTCTCTCCTCATGTCCAGTCCAGGGAGGTGTCAGGGGTCAAAGTTCAACCCTTCTGCTCTGTCCACAGATCAACACCTGTTACACGGTGCCCTGTGCCTCTACAGGAGACAACGAGTGTCTGTGGACGGACTGGCTGCTGGACAACAGCCTGAACGGGGAACAGGCTCGACAGTACGCCTGCATCCGTCGATTCGACACCACCTGCAGCTGGTACCGGGGCGGGCCACCACCGGAGAAAGACTTCCTGGACATAACTGACCCCTGACACGGCCGTGTTTGTTGGTAACTCTGTCCCACGTTGGTTTGTAGACGTCTCTTCTCTTCTTCCACTGTTTGTTAAGTTTGTACAGTTTCCACATTCATGCTGGGAAAATCCAGATGGACTGTGGCCAGCCCTGTGTCCGAGGGGAGGTCAAAGGTCAACAGATCTGCAGCTGTAGGCCTTTGAATTTTCTTCACTGCAAATCATAACCTGGTCATTTTTTCTTCTTTGTCTCGTTCTGCAGTCGATCCCATGTAAATGAAGCTGCAGTGCGCAGTACATGCAGTACATGCAGTACATGCAGTACATGCAGTACATGCAGTCAGTCCAACAAAGTTTGGAGAAAGGTAGACACCGAGTCACATGACCATGGACTGATCGTGTAAATACTGAATCTCGATGGGAATTAACACCATGAAATCTAACAGACGTTGTGTTTCTAGAATGTTCTTTCTGCTTCCGTCGGTCTAACTGTCAGCGTAACTGAAGACGTAGCTTCACTTCACCAAGCATTTCCTTGATTGGCCAGCAGAGGCAGCAGTTCTTCTACTGCACCAACTCCAATTTGTTTGTAAATGAAATAAATCTTGTGTTACGTTGACTGTTTGGTGGTCACCATCTGAGTGGACTCCTGTCTCTGCTGACATCATCAGCTGAAGACCCGCCCACTGAAAACATCCGTTTACAGCATCCAGAGGTGAATGCGGTGGCAGTTTCCTTTTCAGTGTTTAGTTGAATAACTAGTGAAATACGGTACGTTAACAATAATGACTTTTATGTTAAAACGTTAACACGGTTCGACGGTCAAAGTGTTTTTCATGTTTGTTTTATATTGAACAATCGTTTCCAGGGGTTTTATTTATGTCTCTGTTTTTGTTCAAATAGATTTTTTCTTTTTTTATTCATGTACCAAAAAATGTTGTATATAAAAAGTTTCTGTGGAATGATGAGTCTTCTCTTCCTTTTTGTAATTTACTAAGAAAGTGTGGAAACCTGAAGCCCATCCAGAGCCATGTCTGGGTCAGCGACCCTCATGTTTCTTTTATATAGCCATATTAAAGAATGTCATCTGTAATTGAATGTTATTTTGGAACATTTGCATCACACGTTTGTCTTCACCTCAGTGTACATCCATACTGATTACTACGACGGTAAAACCAACATGAAGTCAACGGTGAAAAAGAACTTTCTGCAGGACTTCACACAAACAAAGAATCCAATTCTCACCATGTCTTTGTAGTTGGGGTAGAACGTCCGATCGATGACAGGGAACTTCTCAGCTCCGAGCCTCCTCTGATGATGGAGCAGCTGTGAGAACTGAAGGAGAGACAGACGGAGGAGGAAGACATGAGACAAATGAAGGGGCTCCGGTCTCCAACCTGTGTTCACGGACCGACCTTTAATCAAATCATAGGATTTTCTACATATAATAATAAACGCCTTCTTTTAGCTCGGGGGGGTGGGTGGGTGGGGGGGCGGGAGGGTTACCAACTGACCCAA